GCGAGTCTCAGTCTGGAGGCTGCCCTTGCTAGCAAGAAGTTCTGTGTGTTTCTCTTCTCTGAGTCTTTACTGAAGAAGTGTTTTAGAATATTTTCCCTAACAACCTGCTACATAAGGGATGACAATGTTGTTCATTTTGTCCTTCTGGTTCTCCTTAGTTGGTGTCTGAGCTTCTATACTGTGAATCTTTGCCAATTTTATGAAATCCCACTTGGGATAACCACATGTTTTAAGAACTTTGTTTACATGCGTGTGTTCCCTCTTTTTCCCTTTTGGCTTAGCGGGAACATTTTCTGCCCAGTCCGGAATACTTCAATTTTGTTCTCTATAGGGCGGTGATAGTCCAAGAGTAAGTACTAGTCTATGTGTATGGGCTTCCGATAAACTTCAATGTTGAGGTTTCCATTCGCCTCAATGCGTATGAATGGCTAACTATTATCTTCTGTGTCATCCGTTGTAAACTTTATGTTTCTATAGCAGTGAGTAGTGAAGGTTTCTACTTCTTGGGCTTTGATTTTGACCTAGGTGTCATTCACGTATCTGTACCAGTGGCTAAGGACAGCGCCTCTATTCTACACATACCTCACTGAACAACTAGCCTATAAATGTACTAGAAATGTACATTTAACTGCTTATTTTCCATAAAATCACTAAGTAACCCTAGAATGTGGGCGAAATCAAGCTAACAACATATAATAGCTGAATATAGTTGAGATGAATCTAGCTGGGTTAATGCCAGTTATTGGAAATTGATAGAAATGATATGCTCACTGAAAAAAAGTAAATAAAGAAAGGAAAGTGAAACAAGTTAATTTTAATCTTTCATTTGAACATTGAATGACAGTATCCTTTTGGGTTTGAAGAGAGCCGTCTCTTCAAGAGATTAAGTACGTATCATTGTGCAGGCGTTTTGTAAAGTTTCCTTGTTTTTTGTTATGTGTGTGGTTCCCCAGGGTTTCAGCTGTTTCTTAGTTAGTTCTTCTTCATCTAAGGTTCATCTACTGTTCAATTGTCATGGTGAATCATTACCAGTGCAATACAGTGCAGTGCCTACTGCAGGAATAGTTGCTTTGTTAGTGTGTTCGTACTATCTGTGTTTTTGCAAAACAAAACAACTAAAAATCCACTCTGGATTTGCAATTTTAGGTAGATTTCTTAGATGCCAGGTATTCAGCCAGTCGTGTGCTTAGTCACTTTTCACTACCCACCAAGTCAAAGCCCATGCCTGAAAATGTTGTGATAGCTGAAGCAAGAAGTTCATAACAGATAACCCGCTGTCAGCCCTGAGCTAAAGTTTTTATTTTTCATAGAGAAGAGAACTTTAAATGTCAATAAAACCTGTACTTGTAAAGATAAAATAAATACAAATAAAAAAGGAGCATCATCATGTGTATCATTCTTTAAAAAATTAAGGCCTGAAGGTGTTTCCTCTGCAGAAGAGCTTCTCTTGGTCTGGAATCTTGCAGCTTGTTTAGGATTCTAATGTCTTTTTTGAAACTACCTCACGTGGCTAAGTCATTGGTTTTGACAGGTTTTTTTTTCCACAAAAAAAATAAAAAGTTTATTGGGGGGGCCTAATAATTTTGTCCCCATCTGTAGTTGTTGACCTGAAAAAGAAATTTGTAGTTGCATATTCCTGCACTCTCTTACTGTATGTCTGTACCAGTATTTCCGTTGATAGAACGATTACAAAAACCTTAAAAAGCAGTCAAACAGATATCTGTAACAGAAAGTCAGTAATTTTTTTTCAGTGTGTAATTAGTTTCTAGACATAAGAAATATTCATAATCTTGTAAAATGAGGTGTAAAATGTATTGTATTGCATTTTTTTCCAGGTCCCACTGGTTGACCATGATCTCACCAGAGATGACAGTTTCATTTCAAAGGACACTCCCACAAAATTGTGCATAAATAGAGACATCAGTACTGCTACATGAGCAGAGCAGTTCATCAAAGGAACTTCTTGGTGACATTAGAAGAGGTAAGACAGATAACTTTTGAAAGGATTTCAGTCAGTGTCAGGTTTGGGATTAATTCATTGTAAAAAAAAAAAGAAGAAAATCATAAAAAATATATTATTAGAATTCTTTAACAATCAGGATTTTTGTTTTACTTTCAGGGGTGAAAATGGTTGATTATGAAGTTATTGTGCTCACTGGCAGTCTGGGCTTTGCCACCACTTTTGACAATATCTACATTAAGCTGGTTGGCCTTAATGGATCGAGCAAACGCAAATGCCTGTGGAGCTCCATGCCATCTTTCTACAGTGGTGCAGTAAGTCAGAAATACCCATCTCCATGTTTAAATGTGTGTCATGCTTGCTGATCTTTGGCTAAATTAGATTAAATACTGATTTATTACATCAAATACATCAATTTTTTCCCACCATTAAAGTAAATGTTTTATAACGTTACAGCCTAGCTCCCGATTATAATATGTATGTAATCTTGATCACTTGTAAATGTTCCAAAGCTGGTGTGTCATTACTCTAGGTGTCACGTTTTACTGTGACCTGCCCAGTCTCCCTTGGAGAGCTTTTGCTGATAGAGGTAGACAAAGAACATCGGTTACTCCTCCCAGACATGTCTTGGTATGCAGCCAAGGTAGAAGTGACTTCCCCTGAAGGAGACACCTACCACTTTCCTATCTACCAATGGATCACCAACAGCGATGTTCACCGCTTCAAAGAGGGAGAAGATTTGTGGAAACATGCTTGCCTGACATCATGCATGTAATTTACTGATAACATGAAAGATAAAAACAGAAAGATAAAGTATAAAGAATAATGACAAAATTCAAACCTGTCATGATTCGCTGTGTGGCAGGCAGGATGAGGACCCAATCGCAAAACTCACACACACGGGGATGAACTCAAAAAACACAGCTTTATTGCTGGCCATGAGAAACAATACAAAATAAACTAAACTGGGAAAACTAAAGCACAAGGAGAGAGAAACAGGGAAATCCACACAGCATGAGGGAGAACGCGACACAGAACTGAGGGAGACGCAGACATAAATACACAGAGGGTTAACGAGGGAAATGGGAGCACACGGGGAACACAGGTGGCACTGATAATAATCACGAGGCATGGCAGGAGTGAACACAACACTGACGGGAGAGGTAAAACAGGAAGTACAGAGGTTCAGACAGGAGGAGAGAGAGCACGAGTAGAACACCAACATAACGGGCAGGGGAGACACGGAATAAACACAAAAGGGGACGAGGGCTCATGAATACACAGAGGGGCACACAGGGGGTGAGAGTCACAACGGGAAAATACATAAGGAACAACGTAACAGATCAACCCAGGAAGCATGGCCTAAATAAAGAACAAAATACAAACATACATGAAAACTAAGACTACTGGGCCCACATGGCCCAGGACCATGACACAAACCATACTATATTTAAAGGTAATTGCTGTAAAACAGTACACATTTCTATGTTTAAGCTCTCAGAGCCTCTTAAGAAAAAAAACAGTCTTCTAGCCAAGTACAGTCGGCAGGAAGAGCTGGAGAAGCAACAGCAAGTCTATTGGTAAGAGTGCTGAGCTGTTATTTTAACATCTAATAACTAAAGCTAATAACATTATCCACCTCTGTGTTTATTCTCAGACACAGGCATTGTTTGTGAATGGGGACCACCCGCATCCTTTATGTCTTAAAACTTTTTTTTTTCAGCTGGGAAAAAGAGGGAATTGCACACTGCATGAAGGCAGACAATGCCCAGTCACTGCCCTATGATATCCGCTTCTCTTTAACTAAGACTGCAGAAATGACCTACATTTCAGCCAAAGGGTGAATGCCTTAACTATCTATCTATAGATACAATGTAATTATTAAATTCATCTTAACACAAACTGTTGTATCTTTACTTTATAGACTGGGGCAACTGGGACTAATGCAAATATTGGAGTGGAAAAAGGAATTTACTCGTATGGAAGATATTAGTCTCCTGTTGCGTATCCATCAGACTAAAACATCAGGTAATGAAATGATCATTAAACTACAGGGAGTGCAGAATTATTAGGCAACTTCCTTTCCTTTGGCAAAATGGGTCAAAAGAAGGACTTGACAGGCTGGATTGTGGCTGGATTGGTAAAGGGCAGAGAGCTCCAGTCCATACACATATATATACTATACATATTATTATATTATATATATATATATATATATATATATATATATATATATATATAAAACAGGGCTTGTTGGAATGCTACTACGCAAGTAACCCCGGCGGAAGGGGCTACATGAATAGGATGACGGACCTATGGATTCTTCGATACCCAACATCCACAATGACGGCGAAACAACTAGTAGCTCAGTGTTCCAACATTCGAAAGAAGGGACTGCTCTCACAGCTAGAGATTGACGAGGTACAACACAAATGCTACGGCAAGGAGGAGTCAGGACGCCAGGTCAGGGGGGAGATATCATCACCCCCACCCGAGATTGGGTACATAGCCCCAAGTGCGATAGGAGAAGGATCGTTGAGTGCGAGAGGAACTGACCTGAAAAATAGGATCATGGCCAAGCTTGAAACCTGGATCCCCCGTAGCCGGTTACCAAGATTACGTGAAGTACCCTCAGAAGGTCTGCTAGATGATGTTAATGCAGCACTACGGACAATACCTACAACCACGATTACCGACACTAACAAGCTGATCTACAATACGGCAGCAGTGATCAGTGAGATGCTTGGCTACAAGTTGAACAGCCACAAGGGGCAGTACCCTCCATGGAGAAGGAGGCTAGAGGGCAAGATCAAAGTAGCACGGAGGGAGGTTAGCCAACTAACGGAGTTGCAGAAAGGTGCGACAAAGAAGGTGCATAAGAAATACAGCAAGCTGTCCATACCTGAGGCCTTGGAAACTGCCAAGCAAAGACTCACAGCCTTGGCCAGCCGCTTGAGGAGGTACACCAGAGAGATAGAAGGCAGGAGAATAAACCAGCTGTTCTCCACAGAACCAGCAAAGGTGTACTCTCAGTGGCAAGGGAACAATAATAATAAGAGAACAGCACCACCAAGGCTGGAGACCGAGCAATACTGGAAGAGCATATGGGAGAAGGACGCAACCCATAACGGCAATGCTCAGTGGCTAGTGGATCTGAGGGCAGACCACAGCGACCTCCCTGAACAGGGTCCAGTAACCATCACAGTGGCAGATATCCAAGAAAGGGTCTCCAGTATGAAGAGTTGGACAGCACCAGGGCCCGACATGGTTCACGCCTACTGGCTAAAGAAGCTGACTGCACTCCACGAGCGTCTGGCAGCACAAATGAACCAGCTGCTAGTTAACGAGAGACACCCGGAATGGCTAACCGAAGGTCGGACGGTCCTGATCCCCAAGGACCCCAAGAAGGGACCGGTCCCCTCCAACTACCGACCAATAACCTGCCTCAGTACTACATGGAAGCTCCTGTCAGGCATCATATCGGCTAAGATGAACAGGCACATGGGTCAATACATGAGCGGGACACAGAAAGGAATTGGCAAGAATACCAGAGGCGCAAAACACCAGCTACTGGTAGACAGAACAGTCAGCCGAGACTGCAAGACCAGACTGACCAACCTGTGCACTGCCTGGATTGATTACAAGAAGGCCTATGACTCAATGCCCCACAGCTGGATACTGGAATGCCTAGAATTGTACAAGATCAATGGGACCCTAAGAGCCTTCATCAGGAACTCAATGGGGATGTGGCGTACAACACTAGAGGCCAACTCCAAGCCCATAGCACAAGTCACCATCAAGTGCGGGATCTACCAAGGAGATGCTCTGTCCCCACTGCTGTTCTGCATAGGCCTGAACCCCCTCAGTGAGATCATTAACAAGACTGGCTACGGATACCGACTACGGAACGGAGCAGTTGTCAGCCACCTCCTGTACATGGATGACATCAAGCTGTATGCCAAGAGTGAACGAGACATCGATTCACTGATCCACACTACCAGGCTATACAGCAATGACATTGGAATGTCGTTCGGACTGGAGAAGTGTAGTCGGATGGTAACAAAGAGAGGGAAGGTAGTCAGAACTGAGGGGATTGAACTACCAGAAGGCAACATTGCAGACATAGAGGACAGTTACAAGTACCTGGGGATCCCGCAGGCGAATGGGAACCATGAAGAGGCCGCTAGAAAGCTGCAACCACCAAGTACCTGCAGAGGGTCAGGCAAGTCCTGAGGAGTCAGCTGAATGGTAAGAACAAGATCCGGGCCATCAACACGTACGCCCTGCCCGTGATCAGGTACCCTGCTGGGGTAATAGGCTGGCCAAAGGAGGAGATAGAAGCCACTGACATAGGAAGGGGGCCGGGACTGGTGAGTGTCAGCACCACAGTCCAGGATGAGACAACGAACATCCAAGAATACATTGGGAAGATGGCCCCAACTGACCAGTGCTCAGTGAATACCTCAGGCAGCAGAAACCCAAGAAAGAGGAGGGAGACGAGGAACCATCATGGAAGGACAGGCCCCTGCACGGTATGTACCACCGGCAGATAGAGGAGGTGGCTGATATCCAGAAATCCTACCAGTGGCTGGACAAAGCTGGACTGAAAGACAGCACAGAGGCACTAATCATGGCAGCACAAGAACAAGCTCTGAGTACAAGATCCATAGAGGCTGGGGTCTATCACACCAGGCAAGACCCCAGGTGCAGGCTGTGTAAAGATGCCCCAGAGACAATCCAGCACATAACAGCAGGGTGCAAGATGCTAGCAGGCAAGGCATACATGGAACGCCATAACCAAGTGGCCGGCATAGTGTACAGGAACATCTGTGCCGAGTATAACCTGGAAGTCCCGAGGTCAAAATGGGAGATGCCCCCAAGGGTGGTGGAGAATGACATCTCT